TGCCCGGCCCCTGCTCGGCCAGCGCAAAGCGGCCACAGCCCCGGGAGGAGCCGTCCTGCCTCGCACCTACAAGGGAGATGGGTCCCTAGCACCACCCCAAGGCTGCGGCCTTCCCTGTAGCGAGACAGACGCCGGTTGCAGGGACGAGGGAGGAGGCAGAGCTAGTTCAGGCCTCTCCGACTGCACCCCTGCAGAAGGGGACAATCGGCACTTTCCGAACAGCCTGGGAGACCCTCGTACCCGCCGGCCGGAGCGAACGGCAGGGCAGCAGCACTGACCACGTCCGCACAAACCGGCAGCTTTTTCCTTTGCTGGCAGCGGGCTTTGCGGCGCTGAAGCGAGCTGGCGTGAGGACAGGGCAAGATTGCTCCCAGCAGGCAGCTCTGCCAGCCTTTCAAACTAGGCCAACGCGGGCGAGCAGGGGCTGCCCGTCCTCCCCCGGCTCTGCTCCCGCATCCCGCTGCAGCCTCTGCCGGGAGCTCATGCTATTTAAGCAAAGTTTGCTCTCGCTTTTGGCGCATTTCTCCCGCTTGCTACCCACGCAATGTCACAGGGAACGAGCCCTCTCTCCTTGATGATCCCATCCTTTTGCTATTTTGAGACTCCCCTCGCCTCTCTTCTCCCCGCCCCTCCCCTTAAATCTAGCTGGTTTGATGGAGCCCGTCTAGAGCTGAGAGTTTATGGCCTGGGCCCTGCACAGTTCATGCAGGAGCAGAGGCTGCCACACGCTGTCCTCTGCAAGGCTCAGCCTCCAAAGGCCTGCAGGCACCTTCCTGCCCTCATCAGCACCACAACCGAACATTTAGGCCCCTTGCTCTTTGCAGAAATCCTTGCAGGGCCCCCAGTTCGCCCAGCCCTTCCCACGGGCACTCGGTTGCTTAGTGCATCTTATAGCCAAGGTAACAGGATCTCCCCCTTGCTCGCAGGGGCTGGGCCATATCCAGCCCACCCCGACTCCTGCGTTCGCATGACAGGCTCTCTTTTCCTCTCTAGCCCCCCCCCCTTACAGCAGGTCTTCCCTTGTCCAGTTATGCACCCCAAATACCACTAATCCAGCCCGCACCTGGGTGATCTAGAGACAGATAGCGAGGGACACCTCACCACCCACAGGACTTCACATACAAGCCCGGAAAGCAAGAGGCTCGCAGGCCATGCTGCAAGCACCCCTTCACGCAGCTCAGAAATGAGAGAAACCTCCCTGTTCAGGCCAGCTAACTGTCTCCCCTGCCGTCGACCTTCCCCCCTCGCTGGGCTGTTCCCCACGCTCACCTCCCTTGCTCTAACGGGCTGCTGGCCAAAACTGCAGGTTCAGCCCACTGAAAGGAGAAGCAAACCCAGCCACGGACAAGCCCGCCCAGCTCTCCAGGGTCAAAGGAGCACCCAGCCTCCGGCCTGTCTCGGAGGGTGAGCACAGGCGCTCGTTTCGTGAGATCTGCAGTCAACAACAAGCAGCAAGGGGCCGAGTTTAAGCTACAGTCTTCGCGGTAGCGCTGTCCATGACAGTAACGCATCAGCGCACCAACTCTTGCTGGCCCTGACCCCTCCCCGCCTGTTACGCTGCAATTCAGGGGCATGGATCATAGGCACCCAGGGCCTCCCCACTTCCCTCTTGTAAAGCCAGCCCCCTTACCACACAGAGTGGAAGTGAAAAATAACTGTACAGAGCAAGAAGCTTTTTATAAGCTGTCTGGCTCATCAGGAAGTTTAGGGATGAGTTCAAACTACAAGCAGCACGGGATCCAGCTTGCAGCTGCTCTTCCTGTAACAGCTCTGCTGTCCAGCTAGCCAAACTATTTTTCCTGAGAGCTCCTCTGCTGCTTGGGCCATTCACCTGCTTTAACAGGTACTCCCAAGGGCTTCAGGACAGCACTAGGTGAATGAGCACACGTGCACCAGGACAGGGCAAGCACTAGCTGTCAGCCCCAGGGCTTCTCTCAGGTACAACACTGAAAAGCACAGCGCCATAGTGCATTTCGCAGTTCAGAGAAGGGCAAATGAACCAAGGGAGGAAAGGAAGCCT